ACTAATATCAGTATATACAAGGCTTCTTGGCAATTTGGAAATTGTTCAACTCTCTCTTCTCCATAGAATATTGGTCTCATAGGTGTCCCTTTTATTTGGAAGCCTGGTGCTAGTTATTCTTATAGGCAGTCTTTATCTTACCTTAGTATGTTGTAGCTCCCATCAGTTACTGTCAGGCATTGAGCCTCCCTTGGATTCAGTGTGATAGAGTGAGACTGACAGTGGTTGCCATTTGTTTAAGGAAGACATTTCACTGACTTCAGAAAAACAGTGGAATTATTAGATATTAATTTGGTGATATAATCAAACTTGGGAAATCAGTTTTGGACACCTGAAGCAGATACAGAAAAAAGTATAGACCAAATGGATTAAAGCACAAATTTAAACAACTGATTTATCTATGATTATTTTGGTCATTGACCTATTACCCTTTATAGATGAGAAGAGTTTGTGTTTCTTGTGAAACACCTATTAGAAAGATTCTTTGCATTGCTTTGGGAGCATTATAAATTTCAGTGTGGATATTCCATAAGTCATTTCACATTAAGGCCAACCTTTAATGGGATCCTTCCCTCCTCCTTTTAGGATATGGCCTGCTTGCAGTACGGTGGCCAACCCTTGTACTAGATTTGTTCACTGAGTGGTAAATAAAGGATTACAAATCCCACCACTGGGACTCTCAGCAAAACTACCTGTCAGTATTATGTAAGATCATCTAGAGATGGGAGGATATTTTAGATGAGGAAGGCGGTAGCTTTGAAACAGAGACTTAATTGTATTTATACAGAAAGTATTCCCATGGATAATGTTATTTTGTTTGTTTTTATAGTTCTGTGTTTCTTACTTGGGAACAGACATATCATTCTTTAATAAAAATGTTTAAGATATATTACTTTACTTTGAACATCTACATTAGAAAATACCTCACCTTTTCCCCCTCAACTCCTGCCATGTTAATATAAATATATATATGTATATATACACATATATATATACNCTTCAATTTCATTGCTGGTAATTGGTCTGTTTAGATTTTCTGTTTCTTCCTTAGTCAGTCCTTCATACATAGCCTTTTTATGCATCTTGGGGTTCCCTCCCATTAAATACATGTTGTAACTTCTGTTAGTGCATATTAGCCTAGCTCATTCTTTTTATTCTTTTTGTTTATATCATGGCATGGTATTCCATGGTATGGATGTACCATAATTTATTTAACCATCATGTATTAAGCACTAAAATCTTTCTGTTTTTGCTCTGACCAACAGGACTGAAGTGATCAATCTTGTTCATGCTCTCTTATATATACGGCAAGAGTTTCTCTAGGTTAGATGTCAAGGAGAATTGCTAAGTCATGGAGTACATGTGTGCATGTTGTAAATCTGAATATATTCTGCCAGGCCGCCCTCCCAAGTGGTTGTCCTGGTGTACACTCCCCCAGCAGCCTGTGCCCCATACCCACCTCCCCACACTCTTCCTGACACTTCAGGTTTTTAAAAATTGCAACATCCCACACCTCCAGAGAAGCAGACAGATTTCACCGAGTGAGAGCTCTGTGTGTTTTCCCACAGTGAGCCCATCCATGTGGATTTTTAATGTGGGAAAGCTCTGTGTTCTGTTTATGTTCTCATCAGAGTTCTTTTTTAGATAAACGTTATTTGGCTTATGTAAAATGTGCTTGGAAGGTAGCAGTCATACCTGAAAGTCACACCTAAGACAGATTATTTATTAGGGATTTTAGCCTTCCTAATGTAATTTTCACATCAGTTGTGAAGGGCAGTGTGATTTTTTAAATACAGTTTTGGTCATTGTCCTGTTAGTTCCACTTCTGAATGCCTTTGAGGCCAGAGCTGGTCACTGTGAAACGAAGGCTTCCCTAGCAATGGCAGTAACATTAGATGTTCTTGAATTAATGGACAAGTTAAAATGTCTCCCTAGATTCTGCTTCAGGGGAGTGCCACCTGCCCTGAGGATGGAAGGGAGAGCTGAGTCCTCTGTCCTGCCTGTTGTCTGTCTGTGGTTGTTGGGGGCCACCTGTCCTGCAGACCTGGGGGCGGTAGACAGAGGGTTCTCCTGTCACATCAGAGGAGCCAGGTTTGGTCCCTTTCAGAAGAGCTGTAGAAGCTCCTAGACAGACAGACCTTGGACCAGAGTGCTGTGCCTTACTCCTCCTTCCACAGGTAGAGTGGATGACATGGCAGGCTTTTCTGCTCTCCACAGGCCTTCCAGATAACCTCCTTTCTTGGTACATCTCCTCATCCCATGCACAGAAGAGAAACCAGCCTCTGGGTTCCTCTTGACTCCTTCAGTTTACTATTTAAGCTAAAATATTAGCTGTCACATTTTAAAATTTATTTGCCAAGGTTTGTGTCAGAGTTTAGAAAACTGGGAGGAGGGCCACAGTAGTTTTCAGTTGTTCAAAGTCAGCTGAAATGTTTTCAGTCATGATTTAATTTCTTGTTCTCTGTTAATTTCTTTTGAGTGACCAGCAGATCTCAGAGGTGACTGGCTGGTAGCAGCACTGAGTACAATTAATATGAAAAGTGTTTATCTGGGGATAATACAAATTGTATCCAATCTGGCAAAGAGGTATTTGGATCTACAAAATCCTGGAGGGAAAGCTGAATGCACGATAATAATAACTAAAAGACCACATAAACCGTTCCAAGCAAAAATGTTACATGTCTATTAATCCTTCTGTTGAACTTTCTTTTTATCATGTTTTTTTTTTCTCCATTCACATAATCATTGACTGTGGGGTTGTCAGCAGCTGCTCTCTTGTTTCTAGTTTTATAACTGAATTTCTCTGTCTTCATAATGTAGGGTAAATATCTCTTGCTGGTATTTGTGTCTTGGTGGTTATAGGAAATAAGTTGTGTGGGTGACTGCTCTCAGAAAAAAACAAAACACAAAAGCATTCTCTGCCCAGAGAATATATATACTTGTATATTCCCAAGAATCTTATACAGACTCATCTTTCATTGAGTGAAATATCTTCTTCTTTGGCAGCAAGAATGATTTTCTTGGTGCCATAGTTTTCAACCCACCTGCTCTGAAGTCAGGCAGCTGTTGCAGGCTTGGCGTTCCCAGACATCCAGTTACGCAAAGGTGACGAGTGTAGTCGGTATCAAATGGATCTGGATATAGGAAAGCAGCTGGTTCAGAACCCCATGAGCTGCCTTTCTGTGCCGGAGTCATTCACAGTTGGGTTAGATAAGG